GCAAGGCGGCGGGCTGCGGCGCACGCTGCCGGGGACGCCGAGGACGCGTGTACTGGACGACTTGACGCCGCTGTCAAGCCCCGGGCGGTTCAATTCGTTCCTGCCGTTGGACCCGCGGTTCGGAGTGGGCCTGTGCTTGACGCCGGGTGGCTGACGGCGCCCGGCATCGTTTGGGAGGTCAGTGCGAGCGAGGGGGGCACGCCGAGCATCGTGAGAAACCCGGCTCGTTGTCACCTGTGAGCCCGGGATCGGGATGGTTGTGCATGGGAGCGCGATCCCGGGGACAAACCACACTTTCCTGGACAAGTGAGTCTTTTACTTCGTCACTCGTCGGACACGATCTCATTGTCGTGCTACTCGTACTACTTAGATTCCGCTTCGACACGGGCCTGGAAGCTGAGATCCTCCCGCGCACGCAGTCCATCTCAAGCGTGGAGGACTCGAAGTCCTTGGCCACCGTGTCCGCATCGCCGCGCCTGCACGCGTTCGTGCAGAAACATCATGCAGCCACGACGAGGGTGCAGCGTCCGCCGCTTCGCGTTCCCCATCTCGGAATCGCGTGCAGCGGCGTCCGTATAGAGCCCCCATCTCGACATTTCTACGTCCACTGTGATCTTACCTACCATTTAATATTCGTTCTACAGTCTCTGTGGAACAATACACATTCGTCCTGAGGCCGGTCTTCTCTCGAATTAATACTTGTGCATTTTGAATGGATACTACCTCTACCGCCACCCACAGTTTCGTAGCGGAGGTGGCTTTAGTTTGGTTCATCTCCGTGTATCATGTCTTTCTATCCATACAGAACGGGCTTCTCCTTTCATTCCTTGGCTTGACTTTAATATTCTCTATGGGAACTCATGTCGATCAGCACAAACACGACGAATCGCCTACTCCTCTCGCAACGGCTCGGATTACTCTTGGATGTAGTCACTATGTATACTCTAAAGTGCAGTGCACCACAATGAAAGACCGCGTCAAAGTCGAAATGAATCTTGAAACTTCTACTCTATGGATGCTGATGCTACAGTTGGTTGTCATTCTAGAAGAGTCGATAATCTATGCATCCCGTCGTGTCTAGGGTCTATGTATACGGTCGCGTCTAGTTGTTAGGCTCCATTAATAGCGGTGGAGTGACTATCGTGCACGCCCGTCGGGTTCAAGGCCGTTCCTCGGACGGCAGAGTCGTGCTGAACACACCTGAATTTCGTCTCTACGCAGAGACTTTATCCTCCGAGTTGGCCTTCTCCGCCGCGAAGATTTTCGCCATCTCTAAATCCACACACGGCGCGAACTTGCTCCCCGCCCGGATTCGCGCGCCGTCCTTGTAGAAGAGGAACGGCATCGGCGCGAGGAGGAGGCCCACGCCGGCGAGGAGGGTCGCGGCCCAGTTGACGCTAAGCTGTACGGGTCATAAATAATTTGGGCGACTTGAGATGGATGAGGAGGACCTTGTGGAACATCTGGACGGTGAAGAGCGGGAAGGCGGCGGCGACGAGCGAGCGGCAGAAGGTGTTTGCGGCAAACGCGGAGGCGCTGTCTATCCTGCGAAATGAAATTCTGGTCAATATTCGCGGGACGGGAGAGGGAGAGGGCGACGCACAGATAGGTATCCACCAAATAGCTCAAAAATCTGATGAATATCCTGCTGATGCTCATCCCCACCAGGATAGCGCTCAGCGTTGGGCCATACCACGGCACGCGCGAGTACTCGCCCGTCTATCCGAGCCACAGGATGCCGATAACGAACGCGCTTCCGCCGTTCACCGGGCAACGACGCCCACTTCTCCCCCGCGGTACACAAACAACCCCGCCATCGAATTGGATGCGCAGCCAGCCCTCCCACTCGCCGCGCGCCGCATAGCACAAAGCGCGCGCAGCAAATCGCCGCCCCCCATTTCCCTCGCGCACGCATGCCATGCACTCCTCCCACTCCCTCCGCAGTCCAAACCCATCCAAGAAAGACAACAAAATCGACAAGAAAACCCCCCTAAACGCCGGATGATGCGTTTCCAACAGCGGGCGGAGGCACTTGTAGTGGAAGGCGTGGCTGCACGGCGCGATGAAGAGCGCCTGGTGGATTGACACGGGGAATAGGCCTGGGGCGAAGGGGGGTCAGCAAGCATATAAGGGAGCGATAGCGAGCGCGGGGAGGGGTGAGTGAGTGAGTTTTAGTTTTTTCGAAAGTACGGAGGAGAACAAGAAAGAAAGCGCAGGAACGAGGGGGGGGATTTGCAGAGATGACAAAAGCGGAGGGACGGGGAGGGAGAGGAGAGGGGGATGACAACGACAAGGAAAGGAAAAGGAGGGGGTGGAGGTGGATGTAGAACGTAGACCGTTGAGAAGAAAAAAGTACAAGGAGGGGAAGAAGGGAAGGGAAGGCAGCGGAAGGAAAGGCCTCGCGTGAGGGAAGGAGGGACGTGCGGAAGGGAAGAGGGCGGGTCGGGGGGCGGGGACGACGGAGGGAAGGAGCGGACGTACGAAGGAGGGAAGGAGCGGACGGACGAAGGGGGAGGAAGGGCGGAGGAAGGGATTGGATGGATGAATGGAACAAGAAGGGAGGGCGGGAAAGCGCGTGTGGATGGACGGTACAGGCGGAAGGGAGGGCCGGTGTCTATGTGGATGTGGACGTAAGTAGACGTAGATGGAGTGCAAAAAACGCAGGGAGAGGAAAGTGAGGCAGACGTTGGAGCAAACGAGGGAGGGAAGGAAGAGTAGGAGTGGGGAGGAGGAGGGCGTATGGACGGGCGACTCGGTCAACCCCAGGTCCATCTAAGAATGGAGGGAGAGAGGTGCGTCACGCTGTCACACACTGGCCACAGCGTCAGGTTTTAACTTTGCTTTTGTCCGTTTCAATCAATCTAGCGCTCATGGCTACACGGCTACTACTCCTCTCCTCCTCCGGCACCCTGCCTCGAGCTGGACTGATCCCCAAAACTACTGGCTCTCGCACCCCATCGATGCGATTTGAATCACCTCGCTTTGATGACGCGCGGCGGCGGCGTGCACTGCTCTTCGATGTTGATCTCATGCGAAGAAGCTGCAAGAAGATGCGCGAGTTGTTCTTGATGCACGCCTACTCTGCCAGCGACTTGAGTCACTGAAGAAGAAAAAATCTCGCTCCCGCCGTCCTCGTCGGCACGCTCGCTGTCAATTCCTCGCACCCGAATATATCACTTCCTCTCAGTAACAGTTCCCGCTGTCGCTCCTGGGCCCTGGCGCCCTGATTCGCGTATTTTTACCCGCCGCATCATATCACCGCTCCGACATCCGGGTCCGGATTCCGAGCTCCACAATGATTCTGAACATAATGAAGGCACACCATTCCATCCGTCCTCCCTCTCTATGACGACAAGAAATTCCTTCATATCAGCCTCAGATATGATCCTATTATGAACGATATGTATCTGGCTTCCCTCCTTCCCTGCCTCCCTCTGTCCGCTTTCTATCCATTTGCACCCCATCCCCATCCCCATCCCAGCGCACCCACCGTCTCGCCTATATCTCGCAGCTCAGAAAAGACACCGAAGACCAGCGCAGTAAATTTAATTAGTTTGACCTACCTGCCCGCTGCCAAACCCAAACGGTACGCCCTCCATCCCTCCTCCTCCCCTGCCCTCCTATGACGAGAAAAAACGTTGAGCCCGGCTATGATCCTATCATTCTGAATACTCTCTCTTTCCCATCTATCTTTCCTTTCCGCCCCGCAACGTGTACAAACCCCTCTCATCCGTGGCCCCGCGAATACTTCGACGGGAAATGACGGGAAAAAAAGTCAATATATTTTTCAAACTACGCGGGCGCCGGGAGTCGAACCCATTCTGCTGCGTCAACTGTGAGGACTCAACATGGAATGAAGGCGGCCGTGTTCCGTGCCCCACACCCGCTTCCTCCTTCCCTCCTCCCTCCCTCCCTTCTTGTGCCATGGCACTCAATTCCCCACTCATCCCAATACTCAGTGTATATATTTCCTCAGCATCTTCTACTGAATTCAACCGCGACATCTAATCAACCGCGACATCTAACACTGCGCCTCAGTCTGAGAGAAGGTATCCAAATCCAAATAAACCGCCGACCTTGCCGCCTATGAAAATCAAGGCAGAAAAACATGGATAAACTTTACCCATGCGGGCGCCGGGAGTCGAACCCGTTCTGCTGCATCGACATCGGACGATACATATGTAATGAAGGCAGCCGTGCTCCATACACCACACCCGCTTCCTCCTCCCTGTTATCGCAGGCATTAACCCCGCCTCTCATCGAAAGTGATTGACACCACCTAATGACAGTGTGGATTGCTTATACCGCGTAAATTCAGCTTGTCAAATTGACTTCCCGCGTTGACCCGGACGTGACTGATTCACTAAGAGAGGGTGGGTGATTGAACTAAGCGAGGGTGAACGGTGTCAACAAAATCAAGGCAGAACCAAAAAGCCAATGCTTCCTGACCTATGCGCGCACCGGGAGTCGAACCCGTTCTGCTGCGGCAACTGGCTGCATTCAAAGTGTAATGAAGGCAGCCGTGTTCCATACACCACACCCGCTTCCTCCCCCCCCTGCTCCGGTCCCATAAATCAGACAGCCCTCAGAACTCATACATACAGACACCAGCAGCTCCTTCGGTGAATTCCGCGCTCGATTGGAAATTCAACCCGGAACTGAACTGGCTAAAATACACAAAATTCGGCGAACTCTTGAATCCCCAAAGAAAAAGCTTGGTGGTAACAAAAACTTGATGCATCACATTCTATGCGGGCGCCGGGAATCGAACCCATTCTGCTGCGTCAACCACTTGGATTGAGCCTACAAAGAGGGCAGCCATGTTCCGTACACCACACCCGCTTCCTCTTACCTGCTATCGCAGATTCCTTAAGCCGCATCAATTTAGCGCGTTGGGTTGACTTCCCGCGTTGACTCGGATTTGACTGGGTTGAACTAAGCGAAGGTGAACGGTGTCTACAAAAATCAAGGCAGAACCAAAAGCCATGTTTCGCACGCAAAGCGGGTTCTGGGAGTCGAACCCAGGTATGCCGCTTTAACCACTTGGATTAAGAGCCTGCAAAAGAAGGCAGCCGTGTTCCATACACCACACCCGCTTCCTCCTTCCCCTTCGCCCCTCATCTTATTGATGACATTCTGACCTGGTAAATATCCCTTACGCTAATACATAAGTCAACTCGTCTCAACGAATTTGATTAGGACCCGACGTGCTGGGTCCAGGAGAGAATGTTCGATTTATCTGGCAAGAATCGATTCAACCAGGTGAATGCCACCTACAAGCCCCCCCAAAAAAGACAGAAAAATGAGGAGAAAGGATCAGCTCGATGTTGTTGATATGCGGGCGCCGGAGTCGAACCCGTTCTGGCACGACATGCGAACCTTAATTGTCCTAGTGATCTATGCCCCCCACTGACTCCACAGTGGAAAATGAGGCATTCTGGGACACCATAGGAGATATTTGGCTTAAAGAAGATCTCTCCGTCCCAGATTCTGTCCTCGACGATATAAATGTGGTAGAGGAAAGTATTGACCACCGACTGGACGAAGACGGCGCAACCGAGGCGCTTTCCCGCTTCAAGAGACTTCTCGAGCTCAAGGATGGCTGGAGGGCTACAAACCCGGACCTCAAAGCCTATACCTCACCCCACGGGGTCCGACTCCCGGATCGACTGTATTCTCGTCTCTCCATCTGTGCACAAATCATGACCTCCTCCTACTCCTCCGATATCCGTAACACATGTGCAGGTAGTCTCAAAAGTAACAGGATAGGCATGGAACATCGTTGTGATCATGGCTGACGTCAAATGAAGGTGATCATGAGGATGGAATCGCGGTTGACTGGTGAGAATTTGAGAGAATTAGCGGTTTAACTGGGTCGTGATCGTCGCTGAATGCATGCGGCGGTGTATGTGTAATTCAGGCGAATTCCAAGCCACGGTGCACCTGCCTTGGTCCTGTGCATCTCGGCCGCCTAGGGCTAGGGGAGTAATGGGAGAGGGTAACCTCTCTCTGGAGATTATGTATGAACAGTGGGATTACCCTTGCGCCAGGCCGTTCATTGGAGTGGGAGATCGACGAAGCGATTGCGGGTTGGGTCGAGTTGAGTTGATATTCATTTTGTTGCTACATGTCGCCTCCTCTTGGTTTCCTACCCTACTTGGCTCTTATTCGTCATTTTCTATAGTAACCCTAACCAAAATGTAATCAACTAGCGAACAACTCTGACTGTTTCCTAGGCGAACGGCTGGCCGTCATCTCTATTTCCTCCGGGCGGTTATCATCACCGATGGCTTTAGCACACTGCATCTGTACTTTATGTCAGCGCTATGTCAGCGGGGTCATATGAATGCTCCTCGCACTGCTCGTTAATGTCACGCCTTTCTGGGGGTCAATGTCAACCTGAACAGTCGAAAAATCAGATCGATATACAAGGCTTGTCGAAAAAGTTCGAAGAGGGCGTAGATGGACGTGGACTCACCGTGTGGTGGAATCTATATTACCGGTGTCACTGGAGGGAATGGTGAGGGTGGGGAGACCCCCAGCGGACGATGCGCCGCCACTGGCCATGGATGCAGACCTGCCCGACCTACGGACGTTGAGATTCGCGAGCTAAGGGAGGGTGAACCGCGTCCCCGCTAATCCGGACACAAGACCAGCGCACCATACTGAGCACGTACGCACGCCCAAGCGTGTACGCAATGCCTGTGGAGACTATCAAGCGCAGATGGGTCTAATGCGCAACATCAAACGAACTCGGAAGACGGACTAGTGGTCTCCTCCTTCAACAGAAATCTAAAATTGGCAGCCACGGTTCGGTCTTGTAAGTTGATGACGAATCTTAACAGCATATGGGACCTACGAAATGAGAGTCGCCACGGCAAGCGTGGCCGTCGCTGTCCCGGTCTGGATCGTCACCGCCACCAGTCGGTCCAGGACACTGTTAAGGGTCATGGCGACGATTATGAGCCATACGTTTCTCTGCAATCAGCGTCACAGTATTTCGCACCTCCGTTTGTCCACCACAGCGGGCCTAGCCTTCCTTAACTCCCAAAGCAGGGCCGCGGCGATGCTGAGGTCCGCCACGGCTTCAGTCACCAGCCAGACCCTGATAAATCGAAGAGGAATGAATACATAAACAGCAGAGCTTCATGGCCATGGCCACGGTGAGGCACGCACATTGCCGGAATCCTGATCATCTCGCGCTCCTTGAATGCGGGGAACTTCGCGACTATCACGCCACATGCGAACGTGCCTCCGAGCTGTGTACGGGAGACAGTGGGTACGACGCGGTGCGCAAGAAGACAAACGCCTGCGTACTGCGGCAATGCTCAAGAAAGAATTTAAAAGAGTGACAAGGATGTTTCTGGTGCTAGATCGATATTCTTGAGAGAGGGCGGGCGGTAGAAAAGATGAACACACACAACGACCAGTATCGGACGATTAGAAAGGTCTGGACCAGGATAGCAGTCACGGCGGTGGTGAAGAGGAATAGCAGGATGGGCTAGAATGTTGCAATTATTCCACGCGTGAGGTTCATACTGCTTGACGTACCCAATGCTGGTCGGCAAGGTACCCGGGATCGCCTGCATGTAAATCGTAGGCGGTCACTCAGGCCGTTGATAAGTCTGAGACATACCAGCATGAGTTATTGTGTACTATTAAGGCGCTCAGCCTGAGCTTGTAAAGTGCAGAATGTGAGCGCTTACGAGATATACGCAGGCATAGTCGCCCACGGTGGAAACAGTGTCGAGTAAGAAGGCGACCGATACAAGCGTCTATCAAAAAAGGAGTCCGGGAGGAATTGGGTTCAAGGCAGAAGGAAATACCTTCAACTTCCAATTATCGTGCTTGAAATGTCTAAAGTAGTACCTGGCCTGAATGAGTTCAGCCATATACAGAAACTGGGCCAAACTTGAGGTCGTTCTCGAGCCACGTAGAATACAATCCAGTGCTCACGGAGTTTGCCCAGGTCGCAATGAGAAGTGCCCTGCAAGTCAAAATGAAACTATCAAACTAGGAAGCTAGGAGCGCCGAGAAGATTGTACCCGGTAGTGGTGTTAAGGTCGGGGAGAGAGTCGGACATTGCGAGAGGGATGAAGTAACCATTCTTCCGCTGAGCAGATTTAAGTACGGCCTGTCAGTTTTTGACGGCTCCTATTAATCTCCGCGATCACACATATATACGGAAAGCCGGAGGACCACGCTTTGAATGATGTTATCACTTGCCGAGTGATGGCCGTGATTTTGCCGTGAAAGCGGTCGAAGTGGAATTTAATATTCCTTGACCTGCACCGCCGTGCGTAGATGGCTGAGTGTAACCAACATTCCTGAAGCATCACTGGGCCTAAAGTAAAGTTAAATACAGGACTTAAAATGGAGGATTCAAGTTCGCAAAGCAAACAATGCACTCTCCGAATAAATTAGAACCCCACATTAAGTAGAACAGAAGTTGGACTCACAGAACGGACCCTGAACGGGCATAGTCGTTATCAAGGAATGGGGTGCTTCCAATTCGTACACCATGTCAATTCCAGCGGAAAGGCTGTCAACGCCACCTCTCATCGAGATCGTTCAGCCATCACTCTGGATCCACTTGGGGTTGAGGCTGTGATGGCCAGAATTGGAGAATAATCAACTGATATGTCCTCAGTATCATAACCTTCATGTTTTCAATTTTTAGGTGCAGCTCGCGGCCTTTGATCTGCTCCTCGGGCATCTCGGACATATTCAAATGGGAGGATGGGTGGATTATCTCGGCATTCAACAGATTAGGGACATCATCAGTGTCGCAAATATAGAATGGGGACCTGCTCAATGCTCGCTGCTTCTGCGATTCCACAAGTATGCTCAGTAAGCTCAGTATGTATGAAAATGAGAGAGAAAGTATCTCTCCATCATTCCTGTCACTTTTGGACGCATCTGGAGGACCCATTTCAGGTCTCACCTCAATTTTAGTGCAATTAGAATCATTATTAACCAGCAACAAGCAGGTTGTGTCCATTTTAATTCTACATCCGACACAGGTGGTGGACGGCCATCACTCGGCAGGTGATAACATCCCTTGTTTCAAAGCGTCGTGCTCCGGCCTTCCATACATATAAGTAATTTGTCGGCCGCTAATCACAGCATCCAATAAATCCAACTCGAGCGCTGACGTACGACCCTATCACTTTAATTCGGCCCCGACGTCCAAGGATAGAAGTGACGCCGAGGGCACTTTCCTTTCCTCAAGATCAGCACAGCGGCGATCTGGGGTTCCGAACGTACCGTTTCCGGGGACGGCCGTCCGCCTGGTCATGAAACAAAACAGAAGAGACAATAAGAGACGACGTTTGATCCCCGATCACCTGTTTGGTTGTGTATGACAGTTCGACTTTGAGCGGACTTTGAATGACTGGGACCTATTTCCAACTCTCTTAGTAACTCTGGAGTATTTGGAACTTTCGTTTGCGTGTTGTCCCAGGGTTCAAGCACCAGGTGTTGGTCTGGATCCTATTTATTACTAGCACCTGACGTTAGGGCCCGTTTTACGGCGGTCTGGATGCACTTTTATTCCGCGCGTCAGATATGTGGGTTCCAGCGTAATATAAATAGCTTTTTCGACGCCTTCCGCGTAAGAAAGAGGGTCCACATTATGGTCTGATCGGCGTAAAGCACATTCGAGCCCTGCGCAATATACGTTCGAGCCGCGCGTAAAACATAGTTACAGCCGATAACAGTACCGAAGGCGCGTCCCAAAATGTTACCGTTCTTTGGCTGTTTTTGATCCCCGCCAAAGAATTCTCAGAAATACCCCAAGAACCACTAGCCATGCATCCCGACCTACCCTCTGGGAAAGTGGGCTTCCGCCTCCGAGTATGATCCTTCGGCATCGGATTCGACTGGTTTGCCTGTCGGTGTGGGCGTCATTACAATAGTTTGGGCAGACTCGGTCGAATCGTAGTTTGGTGAAGACATTGGCGGAGTCAGTTCTGGCATCCAGCCCTACATGGCGATATTGTCATCTTCCGGCGCCATCGCCAGATCTGGCAAGCAGAGCGTTTTCCCACTGAGGAAAGTGTATAATTAGCCAGCTGTCCGTGTTTCATCCCATAAC